AGCAGATAGCCTCGAGTCTCTTTCTTCCTTCCTCTTCGTCTTCCTTTTTGACCGTCTGTCTTGTCATTAGTGGGGGCCAGAGGAAGCCAGAAAAAGTTTTTAAATCAGCCTAATTGTGTAGATTCCTCACAGTTTCTCACCAAACCAATACTTCAGCCATTCACACAGCCAGCATAGAATGAAGCTTCGTCATAAAAAGCATCAAAATGAAAACACTTAAAATGGAGTATTCGTTTTAGCTTGCTCTAATTCTCCCTCATTCCTCATTGCTACTTTCAATAAGAATACCCGCGAAACGCTTTAAAATAAAACCCCTCTGTCCATCCTTTCATTTCGATGAGAATAGCTTTCTAGACTACTCTCGAAACCTATGCACACCGAAAGTAAGTAATGCTTTAGCGACATTGTCACTACAAGCATAATTTGGTTTGCCTTGAAAATCTCAGCTGCCCTGTGAACCATTGACACCGGTGGCTGTCTAGAGTAGGGGTAATCTGTCGCCAGGATGACCACTAACTTGTTGGAATCCCGTCCTGGGAGTCGAAAGCATGATCCAAATTAAGGTACATCCTGGATGGGAAACAGTTAGGGATGGAACCTACTCATATCATTGTGGGCACAACTTCACCCTGGGCGGCTTAGGGTGATTAAATTCAAATAGTGTCTTGCTTCATCCAACTTTAGCCTCATTTACTTGAGGTTTACCCACTTTGACAAACAACTTTGCTAATGTTATTTCTTCAATGGCATAATCCTTATGGCCGGAGATGTTAGTGTTTGGTTTACTGTTAAGTCAATACAGAAAATCAGTAAGAATAGCTATAAAATACTATATTAAAGAAGTATCTGTGTCATTTACATCTGATAACATGTGCGAATGTACACGTTAGGAGCAGTAATATTCACACCTACTGCATCAGGCAAAAGGGCCTCGACAACATGCCTAATTTTCAAGAGACAAATGGCAAAAAGCCTTTCTCGCCATCTTGATAGCTTCATCACACTGAAGTTGGGCCATCAATTTCCCACTTTTTGTAGTCATGCAGCGAGTGCATGGGTGACCCTTGAAGCGGAAATAATCCATGTTCCACTTACTCTCACGTGTGCTACGTCGCCCTTATTCCTGTTTACCACACAGGCAAACACGTTTTCCCTCACTCTTTGCGGCACGACAGCTAATGGCGGACACTCTCATGTCACCTAATATGTTGGTATTCGAGACGTTGTCTTCACTCCTTCGAAACTGCAGGGCATTCCCTGCAAATACTCAAATGAGACGGTATTCAAGTCTCACGGTAAATATGAGCTTCTGTGCTAACGGGTATATGATGGGTCTTTGAATGTGCATGAGTGCACATGCATGTGTGCGTGTGAGCATGTATGCCTGCGTAGGTTAGTTTATGAGAAGAA